GAGAGAGAGAGAGAGAGAGAGAGAGAAAGATCACTTGAGAGAGACATATTTATTGGTTGTCTTCCGCAACCAACTGGAGCTGGCGAACCTGCAACTGAGGTACATGTCCTTGACCCCCTTGACCGGGAATCAAACCCAAGACCCTTCCATCCGTGGGCCGACCCTCTAACCACAGAGCCAAACTGGCCAGGGTTGTTGCCTTTGCTTTTGGTGATAAATTTGAAAACCACCAAGACTGATGTCAAGGAGCTTACCCCTACGTTTTCTTCTAAGATATTTATATTTAAGTATTTTATCCTATTGAGTTGGTTTTTGTGCATGGTGTAAGATAGGGGTCTGTTTTCATTCTTTTTTATCCAAGTCTTTAGTTTTCCCAGAACAATTCATTGAAGAGACTGTCCTTTACCCATTTGTATATTCGGGCTTCTTTGTCATAAGTTAATAGACTGTTTATGTGTGGGTTTACTTCTAGGCTCTCTCTTCTGTTCCATTGTTTTAGTGTCTGACTTTATGTCTATACTACACTGTTTTGATTACTACAGCTTTGTAATATAGTTTAAAATCAGGACACATGATGCCTTCATCTTGGTTCTTATGGAAGATTATTTTGGCTATTTGGGATCTTTTATGCTACTATATACTTTTAGGATTGCTTGTTCTATTTCTGTGAAAAATACCATTGGCTTTTAAAAAAAATCCTCACCCAATGATATATTTTTTAACTTATTTCAGAGAGAGAGCAAGGGAGGGAGAGAGAGAGAGATCAATGTGAAAGAGAAACATTGATCAGTTGCCTCCAGTATGCTCCTCAACAGGGGATCACCTGGGAATTGAACCCACAACCTGGGTATGTGTCCTGATCAGAATAGAACCTGCCACCCTTTAGTGCACAGGACTATACCATTGGATTTTTAAATTGAATCTGTAGATTGCATTGAGTAGTATGGACATTTTAACAACATTAATTTTCGGAGTATCTTCCCATTTATTTGTGTTCAATTTATTTCATCAATATCTCGTAGCTTTCAGTGTATAGGTCTTTCACCTCCTTTGTTAAATTTATTCCTAAGTATTTTATCCTTTTTAAAAAATTAGATTAATTGGGGGTACTACTAGTTAATAACATAAATTTCAGGTGTATAACCTTATAACACAACACCTGTTTACTCTATTATTGTGTGTTCACTACCCGAAGTCTAGTCTCCGTCCATTACCATGTATCTTTCCCTTCTTCATCCTTCCGCACTTCCCCTCTGTAGCCACGATTCTGTTGTCCATATTTAGGAGTTTGTTTGTTGTTTTCCTGTTTTAGACCCCACATTGGAAGGAAATCTTCGATTCTTGTCCGTTTCCATCTGCCCAAACGGTGCTGATCTTGCACTTCTGAGATGAGACAAGTAATCCTCTGTGCTGTCCGGTGCAGCAGCCACATGTGGTGTTTGAGCACTTGGGATGTGGCTGGCTCGTTGTCATGGAGGAAATGAATTTTAAGTCTTACTTAATTTTGACTAATTTAAATTAAAACAGCCCCCTGTGGCTGGTGGCTGCTGTATGGGGCAGTGCCCCTCTAGGCAAAGCGAGGAAGAGAATGCAAGTACGACCTACCGCGAGCATTATAAGAGTCAGTGTGCACAGAGCAGAAATTGGGCACAAGAGAGATAAAGGTGACAACCAAGCATTTGGAACAGCCGACCTTTGCAGGGGTTGGGATCGCGGGCCCTGTTCCGAGAGCTCTCCGTGTCCCCGCACATTAAACCTCAGAACAAGGCTGCTGGGCAGGTACTGCGAGTGTTAACGCTTCTCGAGAGTGAGCCACCTGAGGCCAAGCTTACATTTGTTGCCCGGGTCACCCACTCAGTCAGTGGCTGAGCCTTGGTCTGGGCCAGGAAGTCTGGCTCCGGAGTCCACCCGCTCAACCACTGTTGTGCCTGACAGCTGATACGGAAAACGACCACAGAGGGCTACGATTTTAAAGTAACAAAAGCACTTTATTACAGAGGGCCTAAACGGAGGGGCGTAGCTGACCTGGACGGTGGGTTGGGGTCAGCGAGTCAAATGCTCATCTATTAAGCTGGAATCCAGTCGGTGATGGCAGGCACAATGGATCTATGAAGAAATAACAGCCTTGGCTGGGTTGCTCAGTGGTCGGAGCATCATCCTGTACACCAAAGGGTTGCAGGTTTGATTCCCTAGTCATAGCATATACCTAGGTTGCAGGTTTGATCCCTGGTAGTGTCCAGGGGGCAACCGATCTCTCTCTCTCTCTCTCTCTCTGTCTCTCTCTCCCTCTCTCTTCTCTCTCTCTCAACACTAATAAGCATATCCTTGGGTGAGGATTGAAAAAAAAGAAAAGAGCCCTAACCGGTTTGGCTCAGTGGATAGAGCATCGGCCTGCAGACTGAAGGGTCCCAGGTTCGATTCTGGTCAAGGGCATGTACCTGGGGATGTAGGGAGTGTGCAGGAGGCAGCTGATCGATGTTTCTTTCTCATCGATGTTTCTAACTCTCTATCCCTCTCCTTTCCTCTCTGTAAAAAAGTCAATAAAATATTTTTTTAAAAAGAAAAAGGAAAGAAAAGAAATAGCAGAACAAAGCATATTCTGCTTTAAGTATGTGGATCCTCCGGGAGAACTGAAACTAGAATAGGTCAAAAGGATTTTAAAACGCAGTTTCTTTCCAGGACCACGCCTTGGAAGGGAAGGGGGAAGAGTATTACCATTCATGAGAAACCCTTTGTGCTTATAATATGCGTTACTTTGACAAAAATTAAGAAATCAAGTGCATTCGCCTTGCCGTCCTCTCTCTGGAGAGGGTGGCGGATGGGAGGAAAGGGCCCCAGGCTTTGAAACAAACGCAAACCCTGTAGCCCTGGGTCGACCTAGAGGCTCAGGGCGGCGGCTCAGGAAAATGTTAAAAGATATTAGATGGTCAGTTTGTTATTAAAGGAAAGAACTCAGTAGCCGCCCGCTGGGAGAGATTCGCAGGGCAGGGCAGGGCACGGTGCAGAGCGTCCCCCTCTCCCAGTGCGCTCTCCCCAGATCGCCACCGTCCACCGACACAGAAGCTCCTACTCTGCCAGTTAACATTTGTCACATGGGCTCTATGTTCTCTCCGTTACTATTATTTATGTTGTTGTTATTATTATTTTGTGGAACAATTTAAGAGGCAGTTGCTGCATGGTGCACCTTCACTCCCACATACTTCAAACACATATTTCCTGGGAACTAGGACATTCTTTTTCATAACCGCACATACTTGTTAAGTTAAGGAACGTTGATGCTAAGTCAATACTATTGTCTACTTTAAGCCCGTGTTTGAATTTTGCCATCATCCCCGGGGCGTCCTTTGCGTTCTACCCCTCCCCCATCCCAGGTCTGCTTCGGAATCCCACATGGATTTAGTTGTCACACATCTCTCCTCTTTTAAGGCCTGGAAGAAGGTCTCAGGCTTTCTTAGTTCTTCCTGACACTGACCGTTTTGAAGAGTAGAGGGCAATTATTTTCTAAAATAACCCTTAATTTGGATTGGCGTGATATTTCTTTTAAATTTATTTATTGATTGATTTTGAGAGAGAGAGAAATTGTTTTTTTGTTCCACTTGGTTATGCATTCATTGGTTGATCCTTGTATGTGCCCTGACCCTTGGTGTATCAGGATGGCATTCTTTCTTTAAAAAAAAATACATTTTTTATTGATTTCAGAGAGGAAGGGAGAGGGAGAGAGAGATAGAAACATCAATGATGAGAGAGAATCTTTGACTGGCTGCCTTCTGCACACGCCCATTGGGGATCGAGCCTGCAACCTGGGCACGTGCCCCTGACCAGAACCAAACCCGGGACCTTCAGGCCGCAGGCCGATGCTCTAACCAGCCAGGGCAGGAGGACATTCTTAACCAACTGAGCTGGCCAGGGCAGCTTGGTATTTCTTCACAATTAGACTCAGGTTATGCGTTTTTTGCTGGGGCTACCACAGAGGTGGCACTGTGCCCCTCTCAGCCCTCATATCTGGAGCCAGCACATGTTGGCTTGCCTCATTACTGGCGATGTTAACTTTGATCCCTTGGTTAAGATTTCTCCACCTAAAGTTGCATACTCTTCCTCGGCATGAACACATATCTTGTGAGGAGATACTGTAAGACTAAAACTACCCTATCCTGGTATGCAACACCCCTTGCCGCCCCAATTTCACCCCATGGTTTTAACACCCGTCCTTACCTGAATCAGTTATCATGGTGGCTGTAATTTGGTCATTTTAAACTCTATATTCCTTCTTTAATGATGAGTTGGCTTTCTTACTGCAAAAGAACTTCCCTACTCGCCTTCCTCCCTTCGGCTCCCCCTCGTCCTTCACTCTGCATCTCTAATATTTCCAGAATTGGTATGAGCTATGGGTCCTTCCTTCATACAGTGAGCACCGCCCTTACTCATCATAACGTGTTCTTTCTTTTAAAGAAAGAACTCCCTCAGCTGGTTCCGTGTCCTTCCCACAGGTTACCGTCACCCTGCGAGCGCCTCCTGCTCTCTAAGCACAGGATGTTCCAGGCGCACCTGGTGCTTTGCCTGCCCCGCGTTGGGATTGGCCACTGCCCAGGAGCCCTGGCCCCTTTGAAGGAGACGGGTATCCAGAAGCCAAGATCCGGTGTCAGGCGCTGGCCCTCTTTTGAAGGTAGAGAAAACAGAATTTACAGATGGATTGAACGAAGGTATAAGAGGAGAAGGGTCCCTATTCCCTTTAGCTTTTTACTTTTTTTATTATTATTTTTTATATATATATTTTTTTATTGATTCCTTACGGAGAGGAAGGAAGAGGGATAGAGAGAAACATCGATGAGAGAGAAACATCGATCAGCTGCCTCCTGCACACTCCCTACTGGGGATGTGCCCGGCAACCAAGGTACATGCCCCTGACCGGAATCGAACCCGGGACCCTTGAGTCCCCAGGCCAACGCTATATCCATTGAGCCAAACCAGCCAGGGCCCCTTTAGCTTTTTAGACATTGCTTCCCTGAAGTCTTCCTAGACACTCCCTAAGGCTGAATCTAGCCTCTATTTTAGCAGGTTTTCTATCATGTGAACTTTATACACAGCATGTCTCTAAGCGCAGCATGGTACCTGTCAGACCCTGGCACTGCCCTGGAGAATCTCACTTTTGGCCTTGGGCCCTTCAACTGACCTGGTTTTGAAGCTCATCTCTAGCACTTGTTGGTTGTCTGAACCTGGACAAGTCTCTTAACTGGTTTCTCAGTTTCTTCATCTGCAAAGTTAGGGTAATAATATGTACCTCATAAATGCTATGTGAATGTAAAGTGCTTGGCTTTGAGCCTGGCCCATTCTAGCTGCCTAAGGGAATTTACTTAACCTCTCCTACCTTGTTTCCTCACCTGGAAATGGGCTTGCACCCAGCTGATGTGGCTCAGCGGTTGAGTGCCAACGCAGGAATCAAGAGGTCACCATTTGATTCCCAGTCTGGGCACATGCCCGGGGTTGTGGGCTCCATCCCCACTGGGGGGCATGCAGGAGGCAGCCAATCGATGATGTTTCTCCCATGGATGTTTCTGTCTATCACTCTCCCTTCTTCTATCTCTAAAATAATCTATAAATATATATATACACACACATACATACACATATATATATGTGTGTGTATATATGTGTATATATACATACATATATACATATATACTAGTGTGTGTGTGTGTGTATATATATATATATATTTTTTTTTAAAGGGCTTGCTCGCCCTGGCCGGTTTGGCTCAGTGGATGGAGCGTCAGCCTGCGTACTGAAGGGTCCAAGGTTCGATTCCGGTCAAGGGCATGTACCTTGGTTGCGGGCACATCCCCAGTGGGAGGTGTGCAGGAGGCAGCTGATCGATGTTTCTAACCCTCTATCCCTCTCCCTTCCTCTCTATAAAAATATCAATAAAATACTTTAAAAAAAAGGGCTTGCTGTGAGGAACGGCTGGAATCCTGCGTAGAGATTTGTACCTGAAAAACTGCGACTACCAGAATTTCCTAAGAGTATTTCCAAAGTCTTGCCCTTTTGTGACGTCCTGGGACCACCGCCCGGTTCATATTCCACCCCCTCTCTCTATACCCCGGGGTCCGCAGGCTGTGCTGCCTGGTCTTGTTCCCTGAGTGCTTCAGGCTGGACGCACCTACATCGTCTCGGGTTTCCCCGGAACTGGGGCCCCACATGGAGCCTGGGGAACATACACTTTTGTCAGCAGCCATTGGGTCGGAATGACAATTTTGCCAAAAATAAATTTTGCATCCTGGCTGGTTTTTCTCAGTGGTTAGAGCGTCGGCCCTCGGACTGAAGGGTCGTGGGTTCAATTCCTGGGCAAGGGCACGAACCCTGGTTGGAGGTTCCCCGGCCCTGGTAGAGGCACGTGCTGGAGGCAGTCAATCGATGTGTCTCTCTCACATCCATGTTTCTCTCTCTTTCTCCCCCCACTCCTCCCTGCCTCCCTCTCTTTTGGAAATCAATGGGAAAAATATCCTGGGGTGAAGATTAAAAATAGATAGATAGATAAATTTTGCTTCAGTGATTTTTTTTTTAAAGATTGGAAAATTTGGGAATCTTTGTGCAGTCTTCCAAATATCTTTATTTTTTTAGAATTAAAAACATTTTTTCAACATCCTATTACTTTGCAGCCAATTATTCCTACTTTTCTGTTTGCAGTAGCAAAATGTTGCAGCAATCTAAAGGTCCAACAATGGAATGGTTTCCTTCTTTCCTTTCTCCCTCCCTTCTTACCATCCTTACCTCCCTTTCTCCCACCTCTCCCCTCCCCTGTTTCCTTCCCTCCCTTTCTCCTTCTTTCATTAGTTCAGTAAAAAAAGAAAAGTACAGAACAGTGTATGTAATGAAATCCTCCTATATAATAAAAGCCTAATATGCAAATTGTTCGACCGGGAGTTCAACCACTTGCTATGACATGTGCTGACCACCAGGGGGTGGTGCGGAACATGACTGGTGTCATCGATGTGTGCTGGCAGCCAGCAGCAGTGAAGGCGCTGCTGACTCTGATGGGCCCCGATGATGGGAGCAGGACTTTGGTGGGATGATGGAGGAGGTGAGCGGGTGGCACCAGGCCAAGGTGGGTGTGAGCGGGGGGCCCGATTGCCCCACCAATCGCCCCACAGACAGTGACCAGCAGTGGCGGTGGGGGGAGGGGTTGCCACCTGGCTCCCAGATACTGAGGTAGAGAGCCCAGGGGGCCCAGGCAGGGTGGTGGAGCAGGTGAGGGGATGGTGCCAGGCCACGGCGGGGTGCCAGATGGGGCTGCGGGGCTGCTCAGCTGGGGGCATGAGCTGGGGCCCGATCCCTGCAGGCACCCTGAGGGACCCCACCCATGCATGAATTTGGGCACCAACCTCTAGTCTAAAATAATGATACTAGAGGCCTGGTGCATGAAAATTCAGCCCGGCCTGCCCCCCTCACAGCCTGGGAGCCCTCAAGGGTGGGAGGCGACCTGGTGATCAGGGGAAGGCAACACTCCGTCACACCTCTGCTGCTGCACTGCCGGCAGCGCAAGCCTTGGCCAGCCCTGGTTACCTGAGCCTCGGGTGGCTCTGGGTGGCTGGAGGGCTGAGGGGACTGGGCGCCACCATCTTGTGGCTGTGGGCACCGCCATCTTTGAGGGCGGGGCAGTCAATTAGCACCTTCCCTCCTTGTTGGCTGTAGGCCGCCATCTTTGCAACGGCGTGAGGGTCAATTAGCATATCCCCTCTTTATTAGATAGGATACTGAATGTGTAAAGGCTTTGTTAGGAAGGTTACCTGCTGGTGGTGAATGGAGCCTTCCCAGTTGGCGCTCTCCTGGCTGCTGGAGGGGCACCCCACCCGCTGTGGCCCTGAGCTTCCCGCAGCGCCCGCTGGTGTGTGGCAGGCAAAGCCCTGGGCACCCCGTATCAGGCCGCTTCTCCGGTCTGTGTTTGCAGTGAGTAACCCTAAGGGGCAAAGTAATGTCTCCTGTAAGGACAGAGCAGGCTTCCTTACCGCCTGCTTGAAAAGAGAAATTCCTCAGCCGTGGGGCAAGCCCCTTTGTGTCCCCGCTGCGGGCCTTGGGGGCGAGGGGAGCCGGTTACCACATAATGCCGGCTGCTTGCTGTGCGGCGACTACTGAGCTCCTGTGTCTCTGACCCAGGCGTCTCGGTCTTGGCGTCAGACTCGCTCATCAGTGAGCCTGTGAGTGGGGCAGGACCCAGGCCTGACACTGGCCTGTTTCACCTATATGGACATCTATTGCTTTTACAGTTTTTATGTTTTTAGAAAGAAGGCAAAAAAACAAAACCATACACGTAGCAAAAGTCAGAGCTTACAAATTAGGGGAAAATCAGAAAACAGCAGCCATCCGAAGAAGAAAATAACGAGCCCTCCTCATACCTGTCCCCAGAGACTTGGTTGGCACCTCAGCAGGTCTCCCCAGACTGCTCTTTCCACGGAGAGTGCCACGTGTGTGCTGGGCCTCTACCAGAATCAGATCGTGGCCTGTGCAGTGCTTGCAGCTGCCTTGACTTAGCTACGCAGCCACACGGGGCCACTGTGGCGGCCCTGGGGCTTCTGGAGAAACAGTCGGGGGCTCACCAGGGATCCGTGCAGCCTGCAAAGGCTTTCTTTGCCCCCAGCACAGTCAGGGGACCACAAATTTAAAGGAAACCACCCTCCCCTTCCATTTCCTCCCCTGCACCCCCGAGTTCTTAAGTGCAGGTTCCCATCACCCCGGGTCTGACCCCCTTCCTTATCCCAGCTTAACCTCTTGCTGTCCCATTTCCCGCCCATTTCCCTGCTAAGACGGAGGACTCCCGACCCCAGATTCCCTGCCCCACCCCAGCTCAGACCCCAGAGCCCCTGCACCACCTCAGACCCCGGAAAGAATAAGGCAGCAGTGGGAACAGGGTGTGTGTGGGGGGGAGGGGGCAGGATGCTGGGGTGAGGTGGGTGGAGCCAGAGCCACTTCCTTTCCCCTTGGGGCCCCTGTCCGCCCAGTCCTACCCCAGCTTCAGGAGGAGTTGGAGCAGCCTGGCCCCAGGCCTGGGCCTTTGTCACGTGAGCTGGTAAGGGGGTGGGACTCGGTGGGCGGGGGGCTCATCAGACGTGGGAAGGCGCCTATGGCTCAGAAAGACCCCGACAAACGGAGGGGAGAGAGGATCAGGAGCCACTGGGGCTGAAGAGGGTCAGGGAAGGCCGGGAGGGGTGGCCGTTGCTGGTTGCCAGCTGCTATGGCCTGAGGGGGCCCTCGGGATAGAGTTGATGGAGGAGCTCCCAGCACCTGTTCCCTTGTTGTTTCTGATAATAGTAAAAGAAAGGGTGGAAAAAGCTGTTAAACCTCAGGTTGGGCCTGGCAGTTGGCAGGGAAGTCTCAGGAGGAAGAGCCGGGCCAGGTCCTACCACCAGCCTCTCATGTTCCGTTTCTCCACCCTCAGGTCCCAACTCCTGCTCATGTCTGTTGTCATGGAGATGACCCTGCTTCTCCTCTTCTTTGGGGGTCTGTGGGCCCACGAGGTGGACACAGAGTCTCCGGGGATGTCTACACCCAGACAAATCTCTTCTTCTTTGGTCTCAAACATCTCTGAGGCCTCAAACCTTGACTCAGTGGCCTCTGATCAGGCAATAACAAGGGTCCCTGAGGAAAATGGCGGTGCTGGGCACCAGGTCTCCCTGCCTTCCTCGGCTCCACATGAAGTGTCCTCT